GTGATTAGATACGCTTCTAAATGATTTTAGGGAAATATGAGGTGTATGAAAAGTTAGAAAGTATTTCGAAATTAAACCGCATTATAGAAAGGAATTTGACATTACCTTAATATTTTAGCCATAAATTTTTAATCTGAACTCTGATTGAGCTGATTATTGGATAGTAGAAACTAGACTTAAAGGGCAACAAAAGTGTATTTCACGAAAACTTCCTGAATCGACTTTTAAATAGGTTAAAATGGCTCCTGAAATTAGAACAAAAAGTTGACACTGTCCAGACTCTCCAATCACCGTCCGAACGGTAGTCCTTACCCTATTTTTCATCAAAAACAAGGACCGTTCGGACACTACGTTAAAAATGGCTCCACTCAGTTTTAGGATTTTTCCCCGTTTTTCAACCTATAAATACCATAAGGACGTCCATGTTTCATCAATTTTCAACCCTAGGCAACCTTAGAGAGTGAGAGAGAAGGAGTAAACACAAGATTCAAAAGGGATTCTCACGTTGGAACGGATCAAATATGCTAGATTTGCACACAAACTACGAAATCAAGGTAGGGGATTCTTGTCAAGTTCTTTCATTGAGACTTAGGGTATTACATATGTACGTTTTCAATATTATTGATAGTTATATGATAAATACTTATGAGTTCTTGGTTTCTTTATTATTGAAACATAGTTTTGAACAAAATACATGTTTCAGTTCAAGAAATATTGTTCTTGAATTTCCAAAACCCTAGTTTTACTAAATACATGTTTGGTTATGAAAAATACATGGATTCTTGATTTCTAAATTCCTATTCTTAATTAAATCCTGTTTTCATCTAATACATGTTCTTGTTCCTAAAAATTATGATTTTTGACAAAACTCTAGAATTTTGAATATTGAAATTGAAAAGGTTTTTTTGATATGATCTGTTGCACATTTTATTTCCTTTATTATTGTAGTATATTGATAATTATGCAATTGTGATACTTGAATAGTTAATAAAAATTGTGATTGGTTAAGATTGTGCTTGTTGAGAAAGTTGTGGTTTCATCTCTTGTATGGTTTGTTGTGACAGACTTGAATTGCTTTCAAGAGCTGCCATAGAGTGTTAAAAGTTAGTCTATTCCAGTGGGGGTGAGATGGTTGTCTAACACTTGTAGTGGATTGTTGTTTGTAAGAGTAACCACTATTGTTCACGTAAGTTCGAGGCTGAGAGATGATATACCTTTCATTGGGTGGATTCGTCAATGCCGTGGGAGACAATATATGTCCTTCCTAAAGTGGTTTGTGATTTGGTCTTGCGGGGAATGATTGAAATTGTGTGGTTGTGATGGGTGAATGAGGTTGAATCATTGTGTAGATTCCTGATAATCAACCAACATACATGAAAATGGGGATGAACCAATATATATGAGAATATGAGATGATGCTACTGAGTTAATTATTGATTGCTTTAATTTCTTACGTGTTTACACCTATTATTGATTTACTGTATTCCGTACACTTAAGATCATTACAACTGTCATGGTTTTACTCCCAAAAATTTATATATGCTATTTTTCAAAAGAGACTTGCCTTCTTTTTATTATTTTAAAAACCTTGTTGGGATTTGAGAGGGATTTTCTATGGGTTTTTGCTCACCCCCTACAACCCACTTACAGATTTGGACACAGAAAAAGATGCCGATGTGGATGAGAAAGTTAATTGTGAGTGTTGGAGGATCAAGATGTGGACCCTGTTTTAGAGGAATAAAGTTGTTTTAATTTTTGTTTAGTGTTTGAGAGATTTCTATGAAACAGTGTTTTAGCTAGTTTAATTCTTCTGCTGCTAGATACTATTTGTTTTGAATTGTAAGTTAGAGAAGTTATAATATTTTATTAACTTTAGTATTTATTCTTTATTAGATGGATGAATGATTTATTATTAGTTGCTCTCATGATTGGATTGTTTCTAAATAGTAGTGCCTTGTAGGTAGATTTTGGGGCGTTACACTGATTGTGCTACAAATCACATTACCAATGATTTGGCTAATATGAATCTTCCTTCTATATATAATAATGGTGATTCTGTCACTATTGATAATGGTAAGGTCTTACCTATTCCTCACACTGGTTCTACCTTTCTTCACACACCTACGCATGATTTCAAAATCAAAAATATGTTGTGTGTTCCTTCGATTGCTTATAATTTGCTCTTTGTTCACAAATTTTGCATAGATAATCATTGTCCCTTCATCTTTGATTCTAACTCTTTTTACATTCAAGATCTCACCGCGTGGAAAATCCTCTACAAATGCCAGAGTGACCATGGTTTGTATCAATTCCTGTTGTTGCTCCATCTTCTGCTAAAGCACATTTGGGAATCAAGAAAAGTAATCAACTCTAACATGATCGATTGGGTCATCCATCCAATCAAGTGTTAAGTCTAGCATTAGCTAAAGCTAAACTTTCTGTTTCATAGTCTGCTTCATAATCTTTTGTGTGTGACCATTGTCTTCATGGAAAAATGTCTAAAATTTCTTTTCCTTTGTCTAGAATTATTTCCTTATTTCCATTACAGCTTGTTCACAATGATGTTTGGGGTCCTGCTCCTAGTGTTTCTATGGATAGATTTTTCCATTACATTTCTTTTACTGTTGACTTCAGTCGTTATACCTAGATTTTTCCTTTAGTTAATAAATTTGATGTAGTTGTTGTCTTCTTTAAATTCAACCTTACGTTGAGAACTTGCTCTCTAATAAATTCAAGACACTAAGATCTAATGGAGGGGAAGAATACAACAATGGTCATTTCAAGGATTTTTTGAATATTCATGGCATTCATCATAAAATTTTTTGCCCTCGCACTCCACAGCAGAATGGAGTAGCTAAGTGAAAGCATTGACACATTGTTAAAACAGCCATCACTCTAATGTCCAAGGCATCACTTCCTATTCAATTCTGGTTTTGTGCTTTTTTTGCTGCCACTTTTCTAATAAATAGAATGGCTAGTTCTAATACACCCAACAAGTCACCCTATGAACTTTTGTTTCATTATGTTCCAGATTGTACATTGCTCAAAGTTTTAGGATGTGCTTGTTATCCTTATCTTCGACCCTATACAGCTCATAAGTTGCAACACACGACCACACAGTGTGTCTTCTTAGGATACACCTTAAATCACAAAGGTGATATTTGCTATGACATTTCTGCTAATAGGATGTATATTTCAAGAAATGTTGTCTTTCATGAGGATCTCCTTCCTTTTGCTTCTGCTTATTTTACTTCTGCTTATTTTACTTCTTCCAATCATCCTCCTTCTTTGTCTATAGATGATTGGTTTCCTTCTCTGTCCAATTCATCTTCCTATGACTCACCATCCATTTTAGGTCCTCCACCATCTATAGAACCTCCTCCTATTACTCCTATAATTCCCCTTTCTCCACCTGTTCCTTTAGCACCTCTGAGTGCACTTACATCTCTCCCACTTTCATCTGTTAATGCAGACAGTAAGACACCACCTTCACCTCTTATTTCAGCTACATCTCTCCCACTTTCATCTGTTGTACAGACAGCAATACATTACCTTTATCTCTTCTTTCAGCCTCTACTCCTATAGAGGTTTTACCCCATATCAAAACGCATCTTATGCAAACTAGGGCCAAGTCAAGTATTTCCAAAAAGAAGGTACTTGTTGCTACTTCCAACCCTTTACCTGGAACCTACCTGTCTCACAGAAACTTCAAAATAACTTGCTTGGAGAGCTGCCATTTCCTCATAATTTTATACCCTTCAGAGACAAGGAACATGATCTCTAGTTCCTCCTACTAATTCTAACATCATAGGCTTTAAATGGGTGTTCAAACTCAAACTTAATGCAAATGGTAGCATCTCTCGTCACAAGGACATGCTTGTGGCCAAAGGGTTTCATTGGCTACTCAATTTGGATGGAAACTTAGGCAACTTGTTGTAAAGAATGCATTTCTTCATGGTATTCTTAAAGAGGAGGTCTATATGACCCAAACTCCTAGGTTCTTGGATCCTACTGCTCTACAGCATGTCTACAAGTTGAATAAGGTCATTTATGGTCTTAAACAAGCTCCTAGGGCTTGGTTTGAACAGTTTACTGGTCATCTACTTAGCTATGATTTTTAGTCCACCAATGTTGACACCTCTCTGTTTATTAGACATCAAGGTTCTTCACTAACAGTGTTACTTCTAGATGTGGATGATATCATCCTCACTAGCAATGATGCTACCTACATTGATACTCTTACTACTAATCTGCATCATACATTTGAGATGACTGACCTTGGCCCTCTCCATTACTTTCTTGGCCTACAAATTTCTTATACACCTACAGGTTTATTTTTGTCTCAACCCAAGTATGCTATAGAACTTCTTCAGAAAGCCAACATGTCTCGATTCCTACCAATATATCTGCCATTTCTTCTTTCACCCACATCTTCTCTCCTCTAACCAGATTGTCTTCCAGATCCTCATTTTTATCGCCCTTGGTTCACCGCCCCTTGTTCTACCCACTAACCCCTATTTCTTCTCTTTTTCATTCACTACACTGCATATATAGATTCCTCACCATCAATCCACTACACCTATCACCATTAATGACTCTTTTCTCTCTATCCACCACATGCTCTAGCCATTAATATATCCAGTATTTTAGAAAACCCAACGTTCTCAAATGTGGGAGATCTATCAAATTCTTGTCCACCAAAGAACCAAGATGTCAACCCATAACCCCTAAACCCATTTGTCCTAAGTAACCCTGCTACCATCTCTCTAAAGGTCAACCCACAACCCGTAAACCCATTTGTCCCAAGTAACCCTGCTACCATCTCTCCAGAGGTCAACCCACAAACCCCTCAAGCTTGCTCACCTGCAGTGTCCCAATCTTTGGTCAAAGAGCTATCCATTTCAAGTGAGGGTACTTGTTATACCATTCCAAATGGTGCTAGAATACACACACAACATATTTGTGCAACCTCTAGTGGGAATCCACATAATGGAACAAACATGCACAAGGAAGTCCCAAGCAAGAAGCCAACCAAGGTAACCAGCTCGTTGGCTACAGAGGTAAGGTCACAGGTAAACCCATGTCCTAGCACTATTTCTTATTTTGTTTCTGAATCCTCTATTAGAAGTAAGGAAGGTGTGGACCATGCTCTGTCAAATGAGGGGATACAAGGTTCTTTAGTCACCACCCAAAATGTACCACCAGAACAACAACCCCGAAATGATGATAGATTGAAACAAACTACCTCCTGGAGCCAGGTTGTCAAGAATGGAGTGAGTCTGGACTCAAATATTTGTGGCTCAGCTAATCATAAAGCCATGTCTCTCAAATTTGTTGAACCCATTCAGGATGCTCAAAGTATTTTTGTCTCTCCCCCTAGGGATATAGCTGCAAAAGGATGCAAGGAGTGGGAAGCATGCCTTGTGCGGTATTTTATTGATAGGAAATTGTCATTTTTAGTGGTCAAACAGATTGTCTTTAGGTTATGGAATAGACTAGGACTCATTGAAGTCTTAGCCAATGACACTGGGTTCTTCTTTTTCAAATTCAATGATGAAGCAGCTAGCTCCAGGGTGCTTGAAGAGGGTCCATGGATGTTTTCTGGGAAACTAATTTTGCTCAAAAAATGGCACCCCAAGCTTCGGCTTGCCAAGGACTCACACTCCAAGATTCCAGTGTGGATCAAGCTCTACAATATTCCACTGGAATACTGGAATGAAGAGGGATTAAGTCACATTGCTAGTGCAGTTGGTAAGCCCCTATATGCTAATTCCCTCACTGAATCTAAGCAAAGGATCACTTTTGCCATATTATGTGTTGAACAGCAAGCAGAAAAAGAGGCCATTGAATCATTTGACCTTAGAATGAAGGGCATTGATGACAATGAGGATGAAGAGGTCATTGAAATTGCTGTCGAATATCAGTGGAAACCTAGGATATGCACAGTATGCAAGGTGTTTGGACATAGTAACTCTAATTGTCCTATGGGTACCGCTAAGAAAGAATGGAAATAGAAAACACCCTTAGAAAAGGGCAAAGGAATGGTTATTAATTTAGGTATAGAAGTATAGAATCAATTGCAGAATCAAGAGACTCTTAACTATTGCAGTACAAGTTCAAGTGACCCCCATCTTACTCTGCCTGAGTTATCTCAACAAATTCAAGGGGAGATTCTTCATACAGGGAATGTGTTAATCCAATCTTCCCCTATTCCTAAGGCTCCTATTAACATTGAGACTTATAATGAATCAACTAGCCTTGTGGTTGATCTTTCTGGGATTCAGGAGAACGACATAGAGAAATCAGCTTCCCCGGTGAAAAGCCTCCTTAGTAGCAAAGTGAAGAACATTGATGGAATTCCAATTGGAACAACAAGAAAGAAAAAACAAAAGCAAAAATCTCCTAACCTAGGGAAAGTTGGGGTTCCTAAAACCCAGGGTCAGAGTTTGCCCAAACCTAAATGATCAATCTATCTTGCTGGAATATTAGGGGTCTTAACTCCACCCCTAAACAAATGGAGATTAGGAAAATGATTTTTGAACAGTGTCTTGATTTAGTTGGCATAGTTGAAACCAAAGTAAGGACTGTTAATAAGGAAGTTGCCAGGAGAAACATTATCAAAGAGTGGTGCTGGTGTGATAGTTACAACAGTCACACTTTGGGTAAGGTGTGGATTGGGTGGAATCCTCAAAGCATCAGTGTTCAGAAATTTGCTGAAATGGATCAAGTTATTCATTGCAAGGTCACCCATCATGAAAGTATGAATTCTTTTACACTTTCTATTGTTTATGGTTCTAATGATGATATTGAGAGGAGCAGGCTTTGGAGGGTCATGAAGGGTGTATCAAGGACTACATTTAATGTTCCCTAGATAATCCTTAGTGACTTTAATGTGGTTAGATCAACTTAAGAAATTCTTGGTGGCTCAACTAGAAGGACCTTGGCCATGGATGAATTTGAAGATGTCATTCATGCAGCTGAGATCACTGACCTTAGATACTCTAATGTTCAATTTCCTTGGTGTAATAATAGAGGTCCAGACTGTACTGTTAGGAAACTGGATAGAGCTATGGTCAATGAAGCTTGGATTCTAAAATTCCCAATGGCAACAACTGAGTTTCTCCCTTCTGGTATTGCTGATCACAATCCCATTGTGGTTAAAATGGGAAAAGAAATCAAAGCTAAGAAGTGCCCTTTTAAGTTCTTCAATTTCATTATTGAGAGGGAGGATTTTCTTTTCATTGATAATAATGTTTGGCAAGCTCAAATTAGGGGAACTATTCAATTCCAAGTCAACCAAAAGCTTAAGCTCTTGAAAGTTGAGTTCAAAAAAGTCAACAAGGAAAAAGTTGGTGATGTTACGATCAAGGCTATGGAGGCAAAGGAGCAACTTTCTGCTTGCCAAAGGCGGCTTGTTACCAATCCCCTTGACCAATCACTCAGGATTCTTGAAAAAGAATTGGTGGGTAAATTCTTTAAGGCCTTCAAGGTTGAAGAAGAGTTTCCAAGACAGAAGTCTAGAATCCAATGGTTAGCAGCAGGTGACAAAAAATCATCCTTCTTTTTCAAATCCATCTCGAGTAGAAAGAACAATTCCAAGATTATCACTTTACAAAGACAAGATGGGTCTATTGCTAAAGGTGATAAGAAAATTAAAGATGAGGCCGTGAATTTTTTCCAAAACTTGATGGGTAGGAGAAGCTCTCAAGAGCCTTATAGAATTTCTGCTATATGGAATAGTTTGCAAATCACCATTACAAGGGAGCAATCTCAGATTCTTAGCAATGAGGTTACTGGGGATGAAATAAAGCAGTGTTTCTCTCTCAATCCCAATAAAGCTCCAGGTCTTGATGGTTTCAATGGGTTTTTCTTCTAAAAGGCATGGTCTATCATTGGTGAAGATATTGTTGCTGCGGTTAAAGAATTCTTTACCACTGGTCAGCTTCTCAAGGAATTGAATACTACTATTATTGCTCTTGTTCCTAAAGTCCCCAATCCCACAAGCATGTTTGATTTTAGGCCCATCTCATGTTGTAATACCCTCTATAAGGTAATCTCCAAAATCATAGCAAATAGGCTGAAAATTCTGCTTCCCCATGTGATCAACCCTGCTCAATCTGCCTTCATAAAGGGAAGGAGAATAGGGGACAATATTCTTCTGGGCCAGGAATTGCTAAGGAACTATCATAAGAATGATGGGCCCTCCAAGTGTGCTATCAAGGTTGATTTAATGAAAGCTTTTGACATGGTTGACTGGGATTTCTTGCTCGATGTGTTTGCTGCTCTTAATCTCCCTAGAATCATGGTCAAATGGATTATTGAATGCATAACTACTCCCAAGTTTTCTATCAATGTTAATGGTGAATTGGCAGGGTACTTCCCAAGTGGCAGAAGTTTTCGACAAGGTGACCCAATGTCTCCTTATTTATTTGTCATTGTGATGGATGTGCTGTCAAGAATTCTTGAGCAAGGCATTCATGATAAGCCTCAATTTAAATATCATTGGAGATGCAGAAGACAAAAGATCTCCCATCTTTGCTTTGCAGATGATTTAATCATGTTATGTTATGGGGACTCAAAATCAATTGAAGTTCTTAGACGGGCTCTGGATAAATTCCAAATGTTATCTGGCTTAAAGGCTAATCCTTCCAAGAGCCACATATTCCTTTCGGGTGTTCAAGATGAGCAACAATAGTTGATGGTTGGTGTTTCGGTTTTCCTATTGGTTGTCTTCCTATGAAATATCTTGGGATCCCTATTATCACCACTAAGCTCAAGTTGCAAGACTTCCCTTTATTACTTGGAAAAAGTGGACTCAAGGATAAACTCCTGGGTTAATAGAGCTTTTTCTTATGTTGGGAGACTCCAGCTCATTAAATCTGTGTTATGTAGCATTCAAGTTTATTGGGCTAGTCATCTTATGCTTCCTATGAATATTCTCCATGCCATTGATCAGAAACTAAGATCATTTTTATGATCTGGTACTGAAATAAAAACAAAGGGGGCCAAGGTTGCTTGGAGTGAGGTTTGTGTACCCATAAAGGAAGGGGGCTTAGGATTGAAAGATTTAAGGGTTTGGAACAAAGCTCATATACTCAAGCACCTCTAGCACTTAATTTCTAATGAGAACAACACTTGGACCAGCTGGATCAAGGAGCATCATCTTAGAGGCAAGAGCATTTGGGAAATCAAAACTCCACAGATCTGTTCATGGAACTGGAGGAAGCTGCTGCAAGTTAGGGAATTAGCAAGACCTTTCCTTCATTATGTTATTGGCAATGGTAGGAATACATCTCTCTGGCATGATTTTTGGCATCCTAACGGTCCTCTCTTTCTTAAATGGGGTCCTAGAGTTATTTATGATTCTGGGATCACCAAGAATGCTAAAGTTGCTTCCATTATCCAAGGAAACCAATGGAGGTGGCCTTCAACAAATCCTAGAAACTCTAGAATTATTGATGAGATCATATCTACTATGCCCAATTACTCCCCTACAATTGAGAAAAAGAATGAGATCAAATGGCTTCCCCAGGTCAATGGCAAGTTTTCTACCTCTTCAGCTTGGAATCAAAGTAGGAGCAAGAAACCAAAGGTGTTATGGTACCATCTCCTTTGGTTCAATCTTTGCTTTCCTAGGGCCAGTTTTATCCTTTGGCTTGCTATAAGGTGTAGACTGGCCACAAAGGACGGAATCCATAGTTTTTCACCCAACATTGGAACTACTTGTGTACTTTGCAGAGCTGATCAAGAATCCCACTCCCATCTTTTTTTTTTGAATGCTCATACTCAGAAAGAGTTTGGAGGAATGTCATCAGTAAGTGTGATTGGCCATGACAATCTTCTTCTTGGCAAAGTCTCATTGAGGCTATGTCCACCCAATGAAAAGGCAAACATCTTCAGAATTCCATTAGGAAACTATGCCTTGCTGTCACTGTTTATATTATTTGGGGAGAAAAAAATCATAGAATTTTCACCAATGAGCACAATGGTCCAGGTACTACCTAGATGATGATTTTGAATATGATAAGAAGTAGGCTTCTTTCAATCAAAATCAAGGACACCCATCTTCATAGATAGGCTGCTTCTTCTTGACAACTTCCAGGCTCTTGTTTTTGCACCTGATATAAATTCAGTTTGTTGTTTACTGGCTTTGTAATCTATGGGGAGTGCAAAATGTAACCCCCCCAGACTTCCTCTGCCTGCTTTTGTTGGACTGATTGTAGGTTGTTGCAGTCTTGTCCTTGCGTCTCTGTTTTTGTTCTATTTCCCTTTGGGATTGTGTTGCTATGTACATTTGCATACTCAATATATCTTCTTGGTTTATTTACCCAAAAAAAAAGCCAACATGTCACACTGTAAACCTTGCAAAACACCCTGTCCCAGCTCAGCAACACTTGGTAAAACTGATGGCATTCCACTTTCTGACCCTACTTCAAACAGAAGTATTGTTGGTGCTCTTCAATACTAAACCTTTACCAGGCCAGACATCTCTTTTTTTGTCAATCAAGTTTTCCAATTTATGCATCAACCTACAGATGTTCATTTTGCTGCAATAAAACATATCCTTAGATACATTCAAGGCAACTAGTCTTATGGTATTAACTTTACCAAAGGACCTTTACAGCGTACAACCTTTGCTGAAGTTGATATCCAACAGATAGGAGATCTACGACTGGTTTTACTTTACTTTTGGATTCTAATCTCATTCACTAGAAAGCCAAGAAACAGTCCATTGTAGATCGGTCTTCCATTGAGGCTAAATATCAAGCTTTAGCAAACACAGCAGCAGAGCTTTATTGGGTTTGAATGCGCTTGTGTGATTTGAACATATTTCTTCCCACTTCACCTTGCATATAGTGTGTGTAAGCGGTAGAAATTGCTACGGGATTTCAGCCCTCCACTCGAAGAATTCTGGCTGACCTGGCGGCACCGAGCCCCAGTAGTCTTTACCTCTCTTCGTCAATAGGACCCTTTCCTAAGGCAATCCCACATCGGAAGAGAGTCGTCTCCCCCCTTGCCATATAAGTGAACACTTCCTATGGATGAGATACCCACTAGCACTTGGGTACCTCCTCCATAGGAAGTGTTCACTTATATGGTAGGGGGAAGACGACTCTCTTCCGATATGAGATTGCCTTAGGAAAGGGTCCTATTGGCGAAGAGAGGTAAAGACTATGGCGGCTCGGTGCCGCCAGATCAGCCGGAATTCTTCAAGTGGAGGGCTGAAATCCTGTAGTGATTTTTACCTCTTACATAAAAAGATTTTATTGGTACAAATTCTTGCACAACTCAAGGATTTTGGCTGACCTGGGTTAACCCCTTGGGCTACCTCCTCCATAGGAAGTGTTCACTTATATGGCAGGGGGGAGACGACTCCTACCCGATGTGGGATGGAGGTAAAGGCTACTGTATTGCCTTAGGAAATGGTGCAGGCCAGCCAAAATCCTTTCAGAGGGAGGGAATC